AGTACCAAGAATTTATAACTTTGAGAAACACCTCACTGTAGTATTGAACAATAAAAAGGATTGGAAGAGAGAAACCTTTGCCCAGTATGTAAAAGACCATACCATAACGTGGTATACTAATGCTTCCAAAACCAAAGCAGGGACAGGGATAGGAATATTTAGGCCGAAAATTAAATACTCCGAACCGATAGGCACCTATACCCCGGCATCCTTCAGGCAGAAATCTACGTTATCGAAAGATGCGTACAATTTATCTTAGATAGGAACTATCGAAAACAGGAAATAGCCATCTACTATAGTCAAGCAGCACTAAAATCGATCAACTCAGTAACCATCAGTTCGAAGTTGGTCAAAGAATGCCTAGAGAAGCTGAACAAATTAGGCAAAGAAAATAAAGTCCTCCTACTCTGGGTGCCCGCTCACCAAGGAATAGAAGGCAATGAAAAAGCAAACGATCTAGCTAGAAAAGGAGCGAACACTCCACTAACTGGACCAGAACCGTTCTGCTTTCCAAGCGGAAACAAGCTTAAAGCGGAAGTGAAGAACCTGAATGACTTCATCCGTAACCTGGAATGGGAATATTCTCTAACGGTCTAAGACACTCGAAGAAGTTCCTCAGAACTAACGACCGAGAAAAATCAAAAATTTTAATAGATTTAAGCCAAGAAAAAAGTAAGAACAATCTTCGGATTGTCACGGAGTTTCTAACAGGACACTCTCCTCAAGTCAACAGTCTCCTTAACGCACACCTCAGTAGATTGAAGCTGCAAAGAACGGCAAATGCAGATTCTGTGGGAAAAATGGGGAAACACCAGAACACCTTATCACTGTGTGCGCCGCGACGATAACCGTTCGTGCCATAAACTTTGGTATGGCTGATGTCGAAGATGCAGAGCTGGCCTCTGTGGAGCCCTCTCAGATACTAGCATTTTTTATAACTCAAGAAAGGGGAACACACAATCGATCTATAAGGTCGTGGTGATTAACTCTCCTCCTAAATATTCTACATTCTAACACCACTACGTTGAATGAAAACGGAAGCCAGCTGGTCAGTGGATGTTTATAGCCGAGTCCACACTTAGTTTACATTAACGTTTTTCGCCACTGAAAGAGAAACCTACAAAATAAAAGTTAGCACCACTGCTAACCACTTCTTGTCAGCACCACTGCGTTGAATCCAAACGAAATCAAGCTTATCAGTAGATTTTTACTAGTAAAACAAATTTTCGTATAAATCCAAGCATATTTAAATATTTTGGAGATCTTCTAATAGAAATAAAAGCAACGTAATGCCTAGTACCATTCTGGACGCAAAATTCAGCAGTGTTTTCTACAGTTGTGGGGTTTATTACAATTTATTTTTTCCGTGTATTTAAGAATAAATAATGAACTATTTTACATGTAGATAAAATGGCCAGTCTGGCCATGTTACTAACCTCTACAGATGCTTGAACAGTATATTTATTTATATTAGATTGGGATTGAAAAAGCTTCTTTTATTTTAATTTACTCTCAGATTTACTAAGTAAAAAGCTTACTGACAAGCTGGTTTCCGTTTAGATTTTAAAGCAGTGATGTTTACAAAACTCTTCGAGTGGCGAAAGACTCAAATTTTTTAAACTTTTTAGCGTCAAATCTATGCAAGTTCAAGAATATATTTAATTTCACATAAAGTTAAACTTAAAATTTAAAAGGCAATGCTTGTTTATTTGAAAACAGTGTGTTCTCGCTTTCAAATTTCATTTCTTTCACTGTAAAATTAGAAAATGATGTCCTTGTTATTGTGACATATTGGAAAAATCCAATATTATACCAAAACAAAACAGTTACCGTGTCAGCTGTCAACCGTAAAGCGATTTCGCCCGATTAATATACTACACGGGAACGCACGAAACTATTGTAAACAAAAACAGCCACGAAAATAGCTCCGAATTTTCGAAAATACCTGCGACGCGCGCGCTTCTACACTGTGTGCGGGGCCTAAGGCGGGCGTGCGGGGGCCCCTGAACGGCGTTTTTTGCGGAAATTTTCGCGCCGAATGCCGGGAATCGACTGCCGAACTTCATCGGGAAATCTATTCCTGGCGGGCAGCGGGCGTCGCGATGCCAAAAACCGTTTGACCGGACGTCGTCGCGTCGTCGGGAGTGGAGTATCGGACTAGGGACGCCTCCCGTCGCTGCATTTAACACGGGGTAATTGCGACCACAATAATACCCCGCTTTACGCGGTTTCGATATAAGTGTACGTCCATAGTGCACCCATGTACCGGATTCTCGCTTCTCGCTTTAACGCAGCAGACTGGCTGTAAAAAATAGAGGGACAACTGTATGCGCGTGGCCATGATGCGCCAGTCAGCCAGCTTCAATCGGCTTAAACTGCTTTTGCCCGCTTATATACACGGTGCTTATATACACGGGTTATATACGGGTGTTTCAAAAAACATGTGCGATGGAGAGATTCGTGGTGAGATTTCTCGCGTAAAAATATGATTTTTTCATATCAACATAAGTCCGATTCTGCTTTATTTCGTAACTACAGGGTGTTAAAGTCGAAGTATCTTTCGATTCAAAAAAAAAAGATCAAACCAAAAAAAAACATGTGAGCCACTGACTTTTTTTCTTTTGATATCAAAATTGTGTAGGCCGTTTAATGCCAATTAAAAGTTATTTCATGATATTTTGTCGAATCCGGCCTTCTTGATGAGATAAACCGGATAAACGCCATTTTATTAATCACATTTAATAAAATATATATTTTATCTAAGTTATTATTGAATATTATTACTATTAGTCCAACCTAGAGCAATTTCAATTTAAAGAATAATGGTATCTAAGATAATTACAAAAAACCTAATTTTAAAAAGTTAATATCCTGTAACCCTAAAACTATGCATTTCCAAATCCATGTTTATAGGGTCTTTTTTTCATATTTTTTGATGAAGAATCAATGAGTACTTATTTAAAACTTTCGCAAGCTAATGATATTAATTTTTTTAAAAGTTATTAGACTTGGTTCAAGGCAAATTAATAACATTGCGTTTATCTCATCAAAGGGACAACTTTTAATCGGCATTAAACGGCTGACAGTATTTCGCTAACAAGAGAAAAAGAAGTCAGTGGCGTACATGCTTTTTCTAGAAAAATATTCCAGTGATAACCCATATGCACGACCCTAGTAAATATGTCGACACTTTTTTAGCTTTAAAATATATCGTATTTATAGTAACTTTTATCTTCAAAGTTTCATTCAAAACGCTAAAAGTACTTGGAAGAAAATTATAATAAATCGGAAAAATATTAAAACTTTAACTTAATAGAAATAAATAGTGTCCAATGGACTGGAATGGAATTTGGATTCCAAAAATACGTGGTAGATAATCTATATCTACGGAATATTGGGACACCCTGTATACAGGATGTTAAACTTAAAAAGAATAGTTTTTTTGTAATGATTTTCTTGTATAAATAACCTGTAGCTAGTAATTATTTAATTGTTAATTTTGAAGTTTAACTTGATATAATGTCATTTCAACAGAACATCAACGATTTTTAATAGACGTATCTGTTGAAAAAAACTAAAGTGCTGTTGAATAGTTATATTTAGATATTTAAAACAGTGTTTTCTTTGTTCTTTGTGCTTTTTTTTTTGTTCCGACGAAAAATACCCAGAGGAGTTTTTTGAAAAAAAAAGCGGAAAGTCCCTGGAAAGACTGGATATATTGGCAATAAGGCAACCCAAAAAAAAATTGGTGCCATCAGAAGAAGTCACATATCTGGAAATACCCCTGGACAGTAAACTTTGTGGAACAGGCATATGAAGCACATCACCAGCAAAGCCACAAAGGCTCTCATGATATGCAGACGACTGGACTGGTGGGAAATAGATGGGGCTGCGCCCCTACCATTTTATGCTGGGTGTATACCATAATAATCCGACTCATTATTACTTATAAAGCAGTTGCAGCAGTCGCCCAACAGTAATGGAGGTCATTCTAGATCTAACTAAATTATTCTAAATGATTAGAATAGTCATTGACTGAAACAGTACCGGGGAAGTGTCAGCCGATGAGCTTGGAACACCCTCAAAAAGAAAATTCCACGCCTTTAACTCCCAGTAGATGACATACCAAGAATGTACAACTTTGAAACACTCACTCTAGTAATGAGCAAAAAAAAATAGACGAGACAAAGGTTTTCTTAGCAGTTATAGACCATACCATAACGTAGTATACCGATACTTCTAAAACCAAAGCAGGAACAGGGATAAGAGTATTTGGACCCAAAAAATAAATACTCCGAAACAATGGGTTATCGGAAATAGATGTAGCCATCTTAGTCAAGCAGCCCTAAGAGCGATGAACTCAGTAACTATCAATTCTTAGTCGTAATGATTAGTTGAGTAATTGAGGGGTTAGAATAAAAGGGATAAAAGTGACTTTTTGTTCTAAATGGACTTAAGTACAGATTTAGACACTTTAGATACCAGGAAATTAAGTAAATTCTACACTCTACTCTACTTAGTGCAGCTGTAGAATTTACTGAATTCCATTTTATACCAATTAAATTGGTATACCTAAATTATCTAAATCTGCATTTAGAAAAAAGTGACTTGTATCCCTTTTATTCTAAGCGCCTCAATTATACTAATAATTAGAAATTTTCACGGATATATGATATAACCATATAATTTTTCACCGAAACTATTTAAATTTCTACTATTTAAAAAAACTGTGAACTGATTAACCCAATATTTCATTAGTTGTACTATCTGGCATTGTTCGATAAAAATTGCATATAAAATAATCCTCACACAGCATGCAACACGAAAAAGCTGCCAAAAAAATTTCAGCAATGTGCACCTGGCATTTGTATATTATATTTAATTGTGTAGTAATTTGTCAGATAAATCGCACAATTTAATGTCAACACAACAAGTCGTATTTAATTAACCATAAATTTAGAATTATAATAGATGTTAAAATAGAACATTATTGCACTCACCTAGATCGGAGATGTTGACTTTTTCCAAGAAAGGATCAACCACTGGCAACTGAAACAAAAAAGTAATTTTAAAAATTTGTTAATAAAAATATTGTGAAGGTGTGTGTGGCGACATCAGCCGGGGAACGAGCCAAGTAGAAAAGCGAGCTCTGTAATTTCGGGTATCGAAAATTACAGATAATTTTCAACATTCCAGAAACAGCCGCTAGGATATATAAAAAACCCGCCTTCGGCAGTTGGACTAGTTCAGTTTGAAAAATACAGAGAGTTTTAAATTGTAAATCGTGACAATTCGGCGAAGGATTTTTAAAAATAGTTAATTATGTGTTGTCAGTAGTATAAATTGTGTGTATATAGTGAAAAAATAAATTCTTTAAGTATTTTACCGTGAGTTTATTATTAGTGGACCCACGGAATCCGTAGCAATATACTACAACGTATAGAGTATAAGATGTCTAAGATTTATTGAAATTAAAATATCAACACATATTTTTCCGCTTATTATTTTAAAATTTATCGTGACAGTACTTTGAGTTAATTTGAAGTTTATTATTAATTAAACCATAAATTTACTAAAATAGTTTCCACAATTTATAGTAACCCACAAACCAAATTTTAAGCGTATTCCTGTTTATACCTATATTGGTCAAACATTAGTCAAGAAACACCCAAACTTCAGTTATTAATGAATAATTCATATAATGAATTATTCATATAGCTTGGGCGTCCATTAACTACGTGATGGAATAAGGGGGTAAAATTCAAGTGGGGAGAGAGGGGTTTTCGACAAATCACGTCATTTTTTGGGCTAAAAAATAGTGTAAAGTGAACATTCGACACAATTCTTCCGAACATTAAAATCCATGAATAGATTTAAAGTTATTTAGCATTGTTATATTAAAAATATGGTCTCCAATTCCTTATTGGTTGAAAAATTATGGCACGGTTTAAATTTTACAAGACGAGCTATTGAACTTCTGTGCGCAAGTAAATCTCGCGACATGTCACCAGAGGAGGAGGAGTAAAAATACTGAAAAACTCCTGTTCTATTTAAAAGTAATTTTAAGAAGCAATTTTTAATAAGATAATTTTGACTAGACGTAGGACAACTAAAAATTGACTAAAGAAATCATTGAAATAAAGAACAGTGAATTAAAGAATATAAGTTTTCTCGATTTCTACTTAAGCATGAAAAAAATATTCCAGATTTCAATATCTTAATTTTAAAATCATGTTTGAAAATAGAAAATTCAATTTACACTATTAAATTTAGATACAAGAGAAAATGTTGCCTTTTGAGTATAGCAAACAACTGCTTTTCCAGTTCTAAACAGCGATATAATTGACCTGTCATTTCAATACCTTATGTTTAGATGCCACTGTCACAAGCAGAATTTCGCATATACGCTGCAACTAAATTGAACCTCCACTGAAATCAAAATACGATTCTATTCCAAACTTGTATCCAATAAGATACGAGTGGAGTGTGAGTTTATAATCGAACTTAATCCGATAAAGCATACAATTCAATGAAATAACCTGTATTTCTATGTTATTTTATGTCGTGTATCACTTCTGTTTTCCATAAAGTATTTGTTTAATTGCATGATAAAAATCGGTTTATTTGATCAATTAGTAAGCTTATTATAAGACCGAATTTGATACCTTCCAGTTAATCTTTAAGATTAATTTAAAAATTAATATTTAGTTTAATCTGGAGATTTTTTTGTTGATATAATTTTCTAACCTTTCATTTAACTACTCATCGCTAACTTAACTGCATGACAAACTTATATAAGAATATTTTTTTTCAGTTATTTATTTATTTTTTTTTCTGAAAATGTGAAATCTAAAAATTGGTAATACCGAATATTAGGACTAGGTAAAAAACTACTACATTGACAACATTCTACTTAATTGGGGCGTCAATTTGCAAAACCTGCCCTATCCATTTAAAAACATGGCCTAATGGTCTAAAAGCTAGCAACGTTTTCGAGAAAGTATTTTAAGACGTCTGGCTCTTTGATATGTCTTTTACTATGCTCTCTGGAACAGCGTGCGGCCCGTCTGGCTGCCGATACCCATTGCGTTCACTACTGCGCATCGGAAGAAGATCCTATATTTTATTATTAATTTAGTCCTATAAATTTTATTACTGAATATAAATGGAACATGTCTCCATAGCGCAGTGCGTAGAGTTTCCGACCACGAACCGATGATTCAGAGTTCGAATCCGGGTCAGGGCAAAGACTTTTTTATTTTATTTTCGTTTATATTCTGATAGTAAAGTATTAAATAATTCTGGTGATTAAAAAAAACAAATATTTAATACTTAACTATCAGAATATAAACGAAAATAAAATAAAAAATTCTTTGCCCTGACCCGGATTCGAACTCTGAATCATCGGTTCGTGGTCGGAAACTCTACGCACTGCGCTATGGAGACATGTTCGATTTATATTCAATACTAGAATTTAAAGGTCGAATAAAAATATAGGATCTTCTTTCAAAGCGCAGTAGGGAACGCAACGTTTACCGGCATACGACGGGCCACATGCTGTTCTAGAGAGCATAGTAAAAGATATATTAAAGAGCCAGACGTCTTAAAATACTTGTTTTTCCGACGTTGCTAGCTCTCGTACTATAATGACATATATTAATAGTGGACCCTGAAATCTACATAAACATAGTCCCAAACTGCAGCAAAAAATCCGTCTTATCCACTTATATTATTTGCTTTTTATTGTCATTATTGTTGCAAATCCCGCATTTTTCATAGGCTTTTTACACAAGTATAATATTACTGCTGACGTCTTATCCATTCATTACCTAATTTTAATAAAATAGCATATCTTATAAATCAAGTTATGATGCAAATATTTTGCTGTAGCAAAACCCGCAATATGCATTATACTACATACCGCCTTATCCGAATTATTTTTGTATTTTTTCTCTTTAAAAATGAAATATTAATTTTTATTTCTAGAAAAACATTTACATTAAATACGTCATTTGTAAAATAACGCTTTAAACATTTGCTAAAACGGTTTTTGCATATTATCTCGAAACAACGTTTTTGGAATAAGACGGGTTTTGCAACTTGACGCCTCAATTGAACTCTTAAAAGTTTGAAAAAAAAAAGAAAAAAACCGTTACTAAATCAAAATTTAATGATGAAATATTATGAACAAATAGAAATATCCTATCGTCCTGTAGGGTAAATAATTTCACAATAATATCTGCCCAGGCTCAGATCTTCTATGGTAGATTAACTAAACTATATCCAACAGTCGTTGAGTTCCAGAAGCAAACATGTTAAATCACAAAACAGTTTTGAGAAATACGAATTTAAAGTTCTTTTTTGAAGTTTAGTCTAATTACTCGGTTATTTTTAAACCTATAATTGTAATATTTGGTATATGAACAATCTATTTTGAACTTAAATTAAATGTAAAACAGTTCTTTAAATAAATTACCAATACAATTACAAATTACAAATATCAATATTTTTTAAGTGACTTATCGCTCTATTCTAATTGTAAATTAAAAAAAGAAACATTTACCGGACTTACTTTATATTCAGCTTAATTTATATTAAATCCGTATTTATGCCAAAATGAATAAAGCTAAACCATTTTACGTATGTTGAAATCTGGAACCAATTTACTATCTTTATTAAGTTTAAATTGACTACCCTATAACAGCAAATCGGTCAAAATCAATTTTCGTCACTTTGGACCCGTGGATATAACATTCTAAACTAACCAAAGATGTTTGAGCCAAACTGCGTTTACCTGACAACCTCATTTAGTCCATGACTTAATTTGATTTTAAACCGAATATTTTATTTATTGGTTAGTTACAGATAGCGTAAAACGAGAAAGAGCAAAAGATAGAGCATAAGTAGCTTGGCGTATACCGGGTGCGTCTCAAAAGTGGCTCACCTCTATAACTTTTTTTATTATTTCAGATAAAAGATTTGGTATGTTAGTATATGACAGAAATTAGGATTGACGTATTCAACTGTTTTTGGTCACTTCCTATTTCACCGGAAATGACTACAACTTTTGATTTTTAAATGGCTCCCTCGGTATATTTCTACTTTATTCGATAGAAAATGACACTCCGAATAAAATGACAAAATATCAAACGTCAACTTTTGACATTTTCGCATATCGTTTATTTGAAACTGTAACATGCAGTTCATAACGACAACTCGACGCGAAAAACCAAGTGTGTGGTACCAAATTATTCGTAAAAAATGTTTTTTTACAAATATGCTAATGATCCACCCTTGTTCCATTTGAAAAAATTGAGATATGATTAAAAATACGATTTAGGCATCTTTTAACCGGCCAGGACTCCTTTATTAAAAATAGTGTTTTTAACACCGCTATGGCACTCTAGATGGACATTTAAAATGCGATTTTTCAAAGCGAACATGTCAAAAGTTGACATATGATATGTCATTCTATTCGGAGCGTCATTTTCTATCAAACAAAACAAAAAATACCGAGGATGCTATTTAAAAATCAGAAGTTGTAGTAATTTCCGGTTAAACAGGAAGTGACCAAAAACAATTGAATACGTCAATCAATCCTAATTTATGTCATATACTAACTTACCAAATCTCATTTTTTATCTCAAAAAATAAAAATGTTACCCCTATAACTTTCCCTGTTCCTGATCCACTTTCGAGACACACCCGGTATATATCCAATATGCCAATTTTGGACTTAACTTAGTTTGCTTCTAGGGTACAGATATATTGATAATTTTCACAGAAAACTTGTTTCCAAATTCATTATTCATTCAGTAACACTGCTTCAGTGAGACTGACAGGTGTGAACGAGAGGTGTCTCACTTGGGTAAAAAATTTACATTTGACTGCCAGCGACTGCCACGAAAAGGTACATGTAATTCCAACAGTGAGACACCCCTCAGGTGTGAACAAGCCTTAAGAAATAAATTGACTGACTATTTAGCCTGCCAGTAGCGTTTGTTATATTTCGAAACAAAATCCCAAAAAAAGTACAGTTTTAAATGATT